TCTAACTTTGTATTTCTTTCCATCAGGCATACGGGCGGATGTTTATCGGGAAGATTCTACACAAGCACGTACTGGCTCGTAACTACTTTTCACGCCTACCCGGCATGGCGGAACACATGAAGAAGAAAATTCCTGGACAAACTCGAGGATTGGCTGGTAACAACGGGACGAGAACAGCAGCACTTAAGGCGTAATCTTCGCTGTTGAACTACAGATCATGATAAATTCGTCATTGTTTAGCCCTTCGTAACATGTAGGCTCTAAACATGGTGCATTGAAAGGAAAATCTTCGTGACCAAGTGACAAATCATTCTGATGCGTATTTTGATTTTTCTTTTCTTTAAAGATGTACATATATAGGTATTATTTCTTTAACGGTATTAGAACAACTTTTTTTTTTCTTGTTCGTTATTGTAAATAAATTAATAAAACTGAAACAGTAGCCCATTCTTCGATCTGCGTAGTTAATAATGTATCCAGGTCTTGACCGCCCTCAAAACGAAAGACATGTGAAATAAAAACAACAACTATGCGCTTTGTAGACTGTTAACAGAAGGAAGTCCTTACGCCACGTTGCCATGGAAACAAAATTTCTAGAACTCAACAAACCGTGGACCTGAAAATATGGCAGAAAACAAATGAAAAAAAATGACAGTGCATAATTGCTCTCAAGAATAAAACGGTAGCTCCTCTGTCAAGAAAGATTGCTGAGATCCAGAAATTTTGCAACCATGGTAACCTGACGTCACACTTCTTTCTATTGTCTGACCTACTTGGAGTTGATCAGTTTAAAAATTCAGTTTAATCTACTATCTTTCCAAGCGTTAAATAACAGAATGCTACTCGATTCTTTTATACCTGAAACATATTTTTTTCTTAAACATTTCGCGACACAATTCATAGTTTTTACCTTTGCATTACGGTACAAAGTAGGGCCTGGATTTGATGTCAAAAACGTTTGGTGGAGAATATTAGATAATGGCTAAAATTCAGCTCCATGTTCACATTTCAAGAAAACGTTCTTTAGCGAGGAAACAGCCTTCATAAAAGTGACGGAGAAACCAAAGTCATTTGTCGTAAAAAATAAAATAATGAGTTAGAGAAACGGCCTCTACTTGAATTGACCAGACAACACTAATAATTTGGAGCATGAATCTCGTCATATATCTCAAGATTTGTTTGCATGTGTTTCCTGTAGGTCGTATTATTCCAACATGCTTCTTGGCTCAAGATCATAGACGATGCATTTGCCATTAAACAGTTTGATTGATTGACTGAATGATCGATTGATAGCTATTGATCGACTGATTGATTGATTTGATAGGTCCGGCCTGAAGACATTTGATTCAGCTCTAGCCTGAGCTCTATTGTTATTTTGCCTCTTAAATACAACTCTCCGAAAAGATGTTTTGTTATTAAGAGCTTGTAAAATTGGGGGTAATGTCAGGTTTCCTTAGCTCCTGTAGAGAAGACTTGGGAGGAAAGTGAGAGTATACGTACTTATTAAACAAAACGCCTTGATACTGGACGCTTTGAAACTTAGAAAATTGTATTTTTAGTTTGGGCGAAATCAACATGTGACCTTTAGTAGACTTTGGAGACAAAAATTAATATATACATAAAATGTATCTTGTCTATATTCGTTTGCAGCCTCCCTTTCCTTGTGTAGTTAAACAAGAGATTAAAATAACATTAAATTTAAAAAAAAAAAAACTTTGAAAAAAGTTAGGTTCAGTAGCTTTGACATCTGCTTCCCCCTTTGAGAAATAAATCAATGAATGATAACAACAATGATAATTTTCAGCTTTAAAAATGTCGAACAATACCATTGAATACAGTTTGCCCACTGTTGAGAAGGTGCGGCGCTTATTTCGGGAAGGTGTTACATGGTAGTTATGGCAAAAGTTAGTCAGAGACGTCATTATATCAGTAAATCTATATTTTGTATTTAAATTAAAAAGGAAAAACCTGGATCAAGATAAGACTTCTTACCGGTCAATTGAACTATCTACGTGCCTTATGGGGTGTTTTGTCTTTCTTCCTCGGTTAGTACATACAGGACAGTATGCAATGAATTCGTTTTAGCGACTATTTACTTAATGTTTGAGACTAATGGAATACTAATATCAAAGTGCATGTGGCCCATTGTTAATTATTATTTCTTGTTTGTTTCGTAAAAAGTTTCTACTTCGTCTGGTGTGAACCAGTACGATCCTGCCAGGAATGTTCGGGCGAATGTGCTGTCGTAGCTGTACCCGCTCGGTGGGCTGTAAGTATGGCCAAGGCGGCTGTAAGACTTGCTATTGGATGACGCGTAGTTGGAAATGAGAATGTCACATCCTCCCCCGAATATAGGGCCATACGATGAGTCACAGTGTATTGAATCTCTGTTTGAACTATATTTCCCTGTCTGAGGCAGTTTAACAGGTGCCCATCCTGGTTTGTTCACCAGTGAAAACAAAAAGCTTTAGAGTCGTACTGGTACCCACTGCTGGAATCTATCAGAGAGAAATTAAAGATGGAACCAAATGTAATTAGCGCCGTTTGTTCTGATACTCACTTTAGAAATTATTTCACCCGTCAAGTGCATTGACTCTGAAGACAAACCTGGAAACAAATTTTCTAATTTGAAACGAGTTTGAGTCTGACATGTTCCATTTGTGTTTGTAGGACAAGTACAAACATTTTAAAACCAAATTAACAAAAAAACAAACAAACAAACAAAAAGCACTTATCAGACGACGGTTGTTTGAGCAAAAATCTGTCGGAAAGAAGTTCAATTAATTGATCTACAAAAAAACACTCTTTATTCCAGAAAATATTTATATTCATCATATTTTAACTGAACAAATTAACAGACGGATGTACAATTAAAATAAATGGTAAATTCACTCAAACGCAGTTTACACACTAAATTGCCACCAGGTTTGAAGTTCTCGTTTGAACTAAGTCATGAACTTTTTAATTCAGTTTTTCTTATCAAAGTACAAATAGTTGATGTAGCAGGCTCCATCGCCTTAAAAGTGTTTGTATTTTATTCGTATTTTTTTACTCCATTCTATAGATAATACTTTATTTGTACAATAAATTAGCAGGAGGTTGTTTAAACTACGTGTACATAATTATATAATGTTAGCAAGAAAATTTAGAATGTAGAAGGGCACATTATAGTAAAACTAATTATCGCCCTTTAACAGGCCTTAAAAGTACAAACGTTTGGTACAGAAATTGTATCTAAAGGCTTCCCAAAACTTTTAAAAAATAATCCGTTCATCACAATTGGCCTGATAGTCCAGTCAGTCTAGGCATTTTTGAGGCTCAACATCAAACTAATTGCAACAGAATTGTTTTCAACGCCTTTTAAGTAAGGGTGGCCCATCTAGCAACATACTAAAAATCCGCCAAAATCCGTTCGGTGGAACATGTCAAAATTAAGCGTTAAACATTTTGAGCTTTTAGCACATGGAACCCACGTTAGTTGAAATTAAACGTTCAAACAAAAAATGCGCAAAGCGTGTTTGTTACTTTTATGGAAAGTGAAAGAAGAAAGAATAACTGCTACCTAGCTTTTGGGGATAAAAACGACGATTTTAGTTTGTTCGGTACGTTCTCAAAAATCTAGCAAGATAATGCTTTGCAGGCTTTTACGATATACCAGTTTCACTTTTTTGAAGCTTTTCGTTTTCTTCTTGTTAAAAGTGAATGGAGAGGAGGGGAGAATAGTTTAACTGATCCTTTACGATGCACAACAATGCAGAGTTTTTGAGCAGGTTAAGCTCCAATGCCTATGAATTTTATAAAAGGGAAGTGCGTTTTCATTTAAGGAAAAGTGTTGTTACCTTCGCAAAAAAATTATAAAGGTTAACGGAACATTCATCGCATAAGAACTTTGGTTCCAGCAAACGTTTCCTTCAAGAAAACGAAATAGTATAATAGGGAATCTGCTTTTTAAGAGAAAGACAAACTCTGGGTAGCCAAAACAATGCGTATGTAAAAATATATTGTAAGAGTCTATGGAGTAATGGAAATTCCCCGCGCAGAGCGTAATTTACGCAACTCAGTCATAAGGTTAACATGCAGTAAGTTGAAGTGTTACACAACGCACATCCGAAGAGAAACATAGGTTCCGCAAAAAAAGGGGAGCCATAAGAAGCTAAGTCAGGCAAGCCCATTAATGTTGTACATGTGTCCAGTACTTTTGGGCCTTCATTGACCACTGCAATTATTTTCAGACGTATAGGATCCCATGATCGTTAAGAAAAAGAGGTCTGTGTGAGATTATAACATTGCGTGACAATTAAGATGGACACTTAATTATCGTGGTAGTGATCGGAATGTATATCATTAAGGGATCAATTTCAATACCTTGTTTTTAAGCATGTTATCTGAATTTTTTTAGTTAGTTGGGTTTAGATTTCGTGTGTACCTTTGGCAGTGAACTTTTCCTATTTGGAATAAACCCTTGAAACTGTGAAATCGTGAAGTTTCTGCGTTAGCATTCACGACAGGTCTTCATTTGCCAATGGACGAGAAAAAACTGGTCAAGGTTCATGGTTGTTCTCAGAAAAGAAATGCAAGGAGGGAATATAAACGCCTTTAGACCACAGAGCGATTAATCTACTTATTCATCTTACCAAGAAATGAAGAACTGACGCAAAAAATACAAACTGACAGAGATACACTAAACTAAACTGAGATCTGAGACTCACTACAAGAAGAAGATTAAAAAAAAAGAGAACAATCATACTGCGCTTGGGTTTCTGGATTTCCCATGTGTAATGAAAAGCGCAGACCGTTACGATCAAGCAAAAACCAAATAGACGGAGTCCTTAGCAGAATATTTATTCACTCACATTGTAAAGTACAGAGTCGTAATCATAAAGGAGGTTGCTCATGTCCCGAGAAATAAAAAGAATCCCTGATTTCGATCACACATATTGTCCAAGATTTTTGAGCAAAATGGGAATAGGATAAACAGTTGGTACTGATACAAAGCTATCGTCCGTTGCAAACATTTAGTCGCACGTAGCTTGCAAGATGGAATCAAATTAAGTAGCTGACTAAAGGTAAACAAAATATCAAATCAAATTGTTCACCATCAGTCAGCTACTCTGAATTTGCATCCATGCTGCAGGATATAAAAAAATTACAAGCCTGATGTAAAACTGCTAATACTTACTGCATTTCTGATATTGCGCAAAAAAAAAAAACAACAACAACAACAACAAACAAACAAACTAACAAAAAACAATTGCTACTATTTTAACCACGTTAACACAGACTTACTAATAATTTCCATTTTAAATACCGTCACAGAAAAAAAAACAATTAAAGCTTGGAAAACAGAATGTGAAGACAGACGAGTGGTTGGGTAACCTGTGCAAAGCCCTCAAGACGAAACACTGACCCACGTTGGTAACCGCTGGTAACCGTAAGTAGTAAAATTATGTCTTTTTGCAATCATGTTAGCTTACCCCATGATACACTGGTATATCCTCCAAAGATATATCTCCCGACTCTTATTATGGTTACAGTCGGTCCCTTGCCATCACATCGTGAGTGAAATGTTCTTGCAGCCCATCCGTCAACAGATGCACGCCAGCAAAGTTTCCAGGCAGAATTCGCACTTCGTGCTATAGAGGATAGCCAGCCTCTCAAAGTCCTCAAATAATTGCTGCTGTTTCCCACGATAAAGGAGTCTTCTAAATCTGAATAAATATCGACCAGCATTAAATCTTCGCACCATGTAAGGGAATACAAGACAGTCTTGGATTAATTCTAGATTCCCGGTACTGGGTTCCGGACGATGTCAGTGGAACTTGGATTCCGAAATCCAGTCGTTAGATGGATTCCGGATTCCTTGAGCTGTTTTCCGTATTTCAATGTACACGAATTCGGAATCCAAAAGCAAAAATCAGTTCCTGGATTTCGGATGTGACAAGCAAAAATTTGTCAGATTCCGGAATCCGGATGCCTTTTCATGGGGTGAGGCATGATAACAAACGACCGCTAACGTCAATATGAATTATGTTGGCTTTTTAACGTCATAAATACTATACAAGAACGAGAGGGATATAACAGAGATAAATTGACAGGCAGGCCCTCATTCCATCACACTTTTCTCATAGCTGGGAATTTTCTTTCCCAACAACAAATACTCTCATTTGTCATTAATTTTATACTAACTATTAAAACCCATTTACAATTAATTTCGCTGAAGAAGAAAAAAAAAAAAAATCAGTCAAAGCAATATTTACAAGTCATTTCATTTCATAAGCTCCTGTTCATTTCGATTTAAAAAAATCATTTCAATTAAAAAACACACACACCCATACATTCTTTCTAAGCGCAAAGACTTACAATCCAAGAAAAGGATCGATTTGCTTTTCAAAACACTCTGCAAAGCAGCATAAAAAAACTTCAGTGGATTTTAATTTGATTTAATTTATTTGTTTACCGGTAAAATGAGATAGAAAAATATATTATTTCAGGTTAATGAATAGATCAGAGTCAGAAAGTTCGGCTTAAAAGCTCACACATAAATGAGAACATCTAAGGGTACTGCAGTTACCAGAAGGACTCTCTGATAAGGAAAAACAGGGACACCCAACGTCAATTTTTGGAAAATATCTGTTCGGAAGACGATTTGAGATCTAGAATTTTCGGAACATTTATTGTAAAATTTCTTGCTTGCGTGGCCTTCCGACCTAGGATTTTCGAACATCTAAAAAATGGTATAATTGTTCATGTTTAACGGATTTTTACCCTAAAAAAGTCACCTTGAATTTTCGGGAGCCTTTTTTTTGACTGAAATTTTCGAAAAGATAAGTTTTGATCCCTATAATTCTCGGATCACAAGACTTTCAGCTAGGAAATCCGAACAGATGAAAAATTTTTAGGGGATAAAAACATGCCTATATCTACCTTTTAAATGCTAAAACTGGGTTCAACAGTGCTATATTTAAGCGATTTTAAACTATGCTCTCGTTGGGTGCCCCTGTAAAAAAAAAGCAAAAACAACAATAACAAAAAACACACGCACACATACCTAGCTTTAGTTGTTGAACTGCCACGTTGATTGTGGCCTTCTTTGTCCCCATTGTGTTCGTTGCAACGCACTCGTACAAACCGCTGTCAGCAGGAATCAAATTCTTAATGATTAGTGTCCCTTGATTTACTTCAGTCCTTCCAGCTGGCAAAGGCATTCTCAGTCTACTCCAGTTGATGACAGGACGAGGGAAACCTTCAGCTTGACAAACTACTTGAAAATTAGTGCGCTCTACTGGTGTAGCGAGTGATGGTGGAACGTTTGTGAAAATTGGAAGACCTGACAGAAAACGATAAACAAGCGATTTATAACAACGAAAATCTGAATAGAAACCACTGCGAGGTTTGGGACGAAGAAGCATCAGTTCTAAAAGGTGGTGCTAATTTCATAAGTTGTCATATTTTAATAAGTAAATAATTGCAGATACTTATAAGTATTAATTTTAGCGGCATACTGTTTGTAGAAGTTGACAGCGAGACAAAAAGGTAAACAAACAAACAAAAGCAACACACACAAAACAAAAGACTGAATTAAAGCAACAATAAATAAGGTGACCAGTAAAATCTCAACTTTGAGTGTGATATAATCCTTGCCCTTTACAGGCGTCAATTGTTATGTCTAAGAAGCTCTTACCTCTAATAGACAAGTTACCAGTGGCCCCAGAAGATCCAAGAATGTTCCTGGCCCGACACGTGTACTGCCCGGCATCACTGTAGTTCAGATTCTTCACTATTAACTCTTCCACTTTAATCAAATACTTTGCACCTGGCCTAAGCTTTCTATCCATGAAACGCCATTCGACCGCAGGGGGAGGATTTCCGCCAACTGTGCAGTAAAAAGTCGTATTTCCTCCTTCATCCCTGGTCTGTTCTTCCGGTGACAACATTACTTGTGGTGCAGATATCGATTTCCCAGGCCTTCCAGGTGGTCCCGGCATGCCTTTTGGCCCAGGCTCTCCTTTGTCTCCCTTTTCTCCTCTCGGTCCCGCAGGACCCGTCATTTCTGTTTTTCCGGATTTTCCAGGTGGTCCCATGGAACCTTGAGGCCCTTTCTTTCCCTTTTGTCCCCTCCTGTCACGTGGTCCCATTGCCCCTGTTGGACCAGGAAATCCGGGGGGACCTGCGGGGCATATCTTTTCACTTGACTTACAGTACTTGAGTGGCATAAGTTTCTCAAGCTGTTTTGCGATTTCTTCTCTTACGTCATTTACTGTGATACTATTTGAAGTGTCGTTTAATACTTGCCTTCGGTTTCTTGGTCGGATGGTTGTTGTAAATACCATTTTTGACAACGGCACGGCTGCGGTAAAAATGTTGTTATAGAAATTATAAAAATTAATGTATCAAGTTTTTCGCATTAGGGGGTCTGTCGTTATACCAATGGGTTAGTACTACATTAGGCCAGTTCAGCACAGACAGGGTGGTTAATAACCGTTTCTTTTCTTTTCCCTATTATTTTTATTTTCGAATCTCCATTTTATCTGACTGTTTCTATTGATTGAACTATTTATAGGAGAGAGACACCAGCACCTGTCCCTTAGTCCGCCGAGCGACTATCGATCCTTTTCCTTCTTCTCCTGTTTCTTCAGTGGAATTTCCTGGGAATTTTTGCGCTTCATTGCTACCTCTCTTACTGGGCATGCTGTTTTTGTTTGTATGTTTGGATTTGTGGATCTAACTTCATCCTACAGTTTATCCTGAGCTATTATTAGTTCCTTTCAATTCATAGTATCACGCAATTAATGACCTTTTGTCTTGTCATCAGTCCAAATTCATGTCTTGTAATATAACCCAAAGGGTTTGCTTCTGTTAAAGTAAACCTAGTTTCCTGCTAGACCTTACCTGCATGGAAGGCTTTTGAAAGGGAAGAAGAAGGGGAAAATTTAATCGCCGAGAGAAAAAGAAGGAAAGCAATTTCTATACAGTCTAACCTCTCCTTATTAAAGAGGTTTGTCTGTAAACAAAGGCTCTAAGAAAATCAATATCATTGTACAGTGTTCTTTTTGCAAATATGAGTGGCCTTATGCTAAACTAATAAGAAACAAAAAACAATGCAATATCATTCAACTTAGCTACCTATAAGTAACATTTACCTAATACTTGCTTAAGTACTTGCTTCAAGACATAAGGCCCTAGCATTTTACCTGAGGTATGGGAGATCCCTCCTGAAAAATGTGTCCGCATCTTCTTGTAAAGATCTTTTGGCGTAACTTTTGTCGACGAACGAGTCATCCATTAAACAAGCAGGGCAAGTAATTAATACGGGATTCCAGTGCGATCACTCGCTCGTTTGTTGTTTCATTCTTCACCCAGAGACACCCGCCAACGAAAACTAATATGACAGAAAGGAATGATGGCCTAATTGACGGAACAAAATCAAGGAGTCGATGAGATTTTGGCGAGTTTAAAGACTTCATTTCTGCAGCTTCACAATCGTTTCCTTTAGCAGGGCTTCACTCGAAGACAGAAGATTGTGGGAAAGGTGCCAGTAAAACTTGATCCTTTAAAATTTGGCCAAGGAAAACATGAATATTCTTTTACCTACAATTGACGTTAAAGCTTTCCTCCTGGCTGTTGACCGGCACCTCCATGTCACCTCTTCAAGTTACATTAACGTCACGAACTCTTAGTGTAAAGGAAATACCGCTTATGGTAAAATTCATTAAAATAAAGGACCGTCAGTTTCCAAAAAAAAAAAAAAAACTATGATTTTGCCACGGGACTTATAAGCTCCTTGTTGGGGGGGGGCTGAATAGAGGGGAGTTGGGGGGGAGGGAGGGGGGGGATGAGAATGAAGATAAGGACATTCCGTACGGAGCATGGGGATGACATAATTGATAAGCTAATTATAATTATAATGCACATAACCCAAACCTTACCCAACT